GCCTGGGGGGAGAGGGACGGGCGGATATTAGGATGGGGAGGGGGAATGGATGGCTGGGAAGAGGTGTGGGACGGGGATGGATGTGAAGGTGGGGGCAATGGGAAGGGTGTGGGGGGGTGGAGGAGTGGGAAGGTGGGGGGGATGGGAAGGGGTGTGGGGGAATAGATGGGTGTGGAGGCGATATGGGGGGATGAAGAAATGGGAAGAATGTGGGGGAGGGGTGGATGGATGGGTAGGAAGGGAGTGTGGGGAGCCGATGGAAAGCGGGGGGGCGGGGGGTGTGGATGGATGGGCAGGGATGTTGTCCCTAACCTCTGTTTGCCAGAATGGGTGACGGGATGGATCACTTGATGATTCCCTGCTCTGTTCATTCCCTCTGGGGCACCTGGCATTGACCACTGTCAGAAGACGGGATACTGGGCTGGATGGGCCTGTGGTCTGACCCAATATGGCCGGTCTTATGTTCTTATGTTTTGACTCTCGCTTGTGACCTGGCGGTTGGAGAAACATGGGCCCAGCACGTGGTCTGAGCAGCCACGCGGAGACCTGGCAAACTCATCCCACGTTGGGCTGGTTAGAGTATTGCTTCCGTTGCTTCTCTGCACGCAGGCTCTCAGCAGGGTGCAGGCCTGGCCGGCTATGCCAGATGCTCCTTACACAGGAGGCAAAAGATGGGAGAGAGGAGGGGTGGAAAAGGACACGTGGGGGGAGAGGATACCACCGCTTAGGGGCGTGATCTCAGCACGGCCCTTGGGTGAGAGCCGAGGCCTCCTCGTTCAGACTCTTTCAGCGTTTCTGTTTCCCTTTTGTATTCGGGGTGACAGGCTCCTGTGACACTCAGCTCGCAATTCAGTGACATGTGTCGGGCCAGTTATCACCGCGGGTGGAGGTGGGGGGAGAATGGATAGGGAGAGGCCTAGGGGGTGGATGGAGAGGGGGTGTAGGGAGCTGGACAGGCAGAGGAAGGGATGGGGTGTGTGAGGGGAGGGATGGATGGGCAGAAGGAGGGGTGGGGGACTGGATGCAGGGAGGGAAGGGGGGCTGGGATGGATGGGCAGAAGGAGGGGGGCTGGCTGGCTGGATAGGCAGAGGGAGGGGTGTGGGGGTGCTGGAGGGAGGGGGATGAGGGGAGGGGCCGGCTGGATGGGCAGAAGGAGGGGTGGGGGGGCTGGCTGGACAGGCAGAGGGAAGGTGGGGGGCTGGATGCAGGGAGGGAAGGAGGGGTGGGGGGGCTGGCTGGACAGGCAGAGGGAGGGGTGGGGGGCTGGATGCAGGGAGGGAGGGAAGGAAGGGTGGGGCTGGCTGGCTGGACTTTGTCTCAGAGCCCCCGCCCCCATTTCTGATCCGCTGCTGCCATCTAGCTTTCGTGGGTAAGAACCTCACTTGAAGTACCCATGAAAGCTTATGCTCCCAATACTTCTGTTAGTCTTAAAGGTGCCACAGGACCTTCTGTTGCTTTTTACAGATCCAGACTAACACGGCTACCCCTCGGATACTTGCTGCCATCTAATGGCCCTTCACTCTCAGTCCACCCACCGCCCGGCTCCCCTCTGTCCCTCTCTGAGCCCCAGGCACGCCCTGGGAACTCCCAAGTACTGCCATGTGCCTCTGTGTAGCAGATCCCACTGGGGGACACCCCGAGGACCCACTCCCAACCCGGGGGCCCCTTCGTGCTTGCTCCCATCACCCTCTGCAGACTGGCTTGGGAGTCTGGTGTATAGCTGCCCCCCTTTCCAGCTCCCATCAGACCCCCGCTCACCCCTGAACCGTGGGGCACTTCGCTAGCAAGCCACAGCGCCTTGCGGTTCCCAGGCACCGCGCCGTTCCAGCTCCACATCCCCGCAGTCTTCAGAGACGAGCTCCTGGGTAGCTCCTGACCGCTGGAGGCTCTGGTGTGGACTGGCGGCTCACTGGCTCTTTTTGTTCTGTGTTTGTACAGCTCCGGGCACAGCGGGGTCCTGCTCTGTGATTGCGGGCCCGGGGCTCTCGTGAGTCACACACACTGTGCTCTCACTTCTCCAGGTGACCTGACTTCAGTTCTTGCTCCCCCTACCCCCAGGGCACAAGGGTTTGCTCTTGCAAATTCTTGGGGTTGGTGCAGGAGGGGGAGGGATTTTGCAGCCACATTCAGATTTGTATTTTGGGGGGGGTGAATGTCACTGTACATTTAGTTTATTAACAGGGATGGGGGCATTAGCTGAATGCAGCCCCCCACCCCATACACAGAGGCCAGGCCGGTTGAGATTGGAGGGATTTTTGATACAAGGCAAAAATAATATGAGTATGAATGTCAGTTATTAATAATACATCAAATCTAGCATTCATGTAGTGCTTTTCATCGGTAGAGCTTAATAAATTAGTATTAAGAAAATAATTCATACTTATTACTAAGATGTACTATAAATATAGCATCATAAAATAGTATATTACAATATAAACACAATAGTATAATAATTCCTAGTTGTCGAATAATGCTTTCCCTCAGTAGCTCTTAATATAATAACATTAATAATAATATCATACGTATAAAATAGTGTGATGTTATCATATAAATGCATAAGATAATAAAAATAGCATTATAATATGGATACATTACCTAGCTCTCATATAGTGCTTTTCATCAGTGGATCGCAATAAATTAATGGTAATAACATAATTAATACTTAGTAATAAGATGTGCTATCAAGATGATATAATAAACAGTAAACTATAATAATGCGTAATTCTCATATTGTACTTCTCAGCAGTGGATTTCAATTAATAGCACGCCGTCAGTCGATCTCAGTAAATGAATTAATAATAATAAATGACATGGTAATAAGAGGTACTGTGAATATAATCTAGCAATAGTATATTAGAATATTAGTAGATTGTCTCATTCAACAATACATTACTAATAGTACACTAAATACGATCTATAGTGTAATAAAATGTCCAATAACACGCACTAGACTAATAAACCAGAGCATGTTAATAATTGGCTTTACCCAGAGAGCTGAATTCAACTACATGAGCGTGCGAAGCATTTCCACTAGCTCCGCCCAATTCAACTTGGGACTGACCAGTAAGAAACAGCCCAGGCCTGGCCTGTCATTGTCCTGCCCTCACAGATCCGCCATTGTCACGTAATTCCCTTGGTCCTGTCATCCTTGTGTTGTTCTCCTCCCCCCCGGAGTGTGCGTGTTCTTTCGTTTCCTCCTTCTCCTGGTCCCATGTTTCCTCCCACATGGGACGGAGGATTAACCCAAATTCCAGCCATACCCTGTCCCCCAGTTAACCCTCCCTGGGGGTTGCCCTCTCAGCCCTGGTGTTGCTGGCTTGGTTCTCCTGCCCTGGGGCATTCTGGTCCCCATGGGTTGGCTTTGTTTGATCCCAGGTGTGTAGCCTGTGGAACTCATTGCCACATGAGGCCATGGGCTCAAAAACGGAGTGTCAAAAGCAAGGGGGCATATGGCTCACACTGGAAGGGTGTGACCGTGCTAGGAAGAGATTAACGCCCAGATACAGAGAGGGATGGTGGGAGTGGGGAGGGGATAGATGAAGGGGGCAGATGGGGATGGATAGATTCCATGATTGCAGAACTGGCCAGTTGCATCATGGGCACTCTAGAGTCTAGACCTTAGCATAAAACTCTCCGTGCTGGCCACTGTCTGAGGCGAGATACAGGCTGGATGGACCCAGGGGTTTGATCCCAGCAGGTGGGGATGGGGGACACCGGGCCGGATGGACCCAGG